GCTCTTGTCGAAGCGGGTGAGACTTTCCACCTCGTTGGAGGAGTCGTTGCCGTCGTCGGCATTGTCGTTGCCCAAGGAGACGGCGACAATGAGCGCTTGAGGCTCGGCAAAATAATCCGCCTCCTCGAGATTGGCAGCGTACGCGTAGTGGCCGGCGTCGAGCCGGCCGCTCTCTTGATTGCTGGCTGCCTTTGGGCACTCGCGTGCCCAATGGCCCTTCCGCCCGCAATAATTGCACTCATCGTCGGGGTTGCAAGCCGCACGACGACAAGTGAAAGCGGGACAAGAGCCAGGCGAGCCTTGCTGGCGACAAGGAGACGGGCCGCCCATGTGAGGCGGGGAGTCGCGCGTCTTCTCGCCGGGAGAAGAGTGGGCGTCGCGCTGCTTGCCGGCGTTGCAACGACGAGTGTTGCGGACGGCGGCGAGGACGTTCTCCTCGGACCAGCTGGCCATGTCGTCGAGAGTGACAGGCGCAGCCGGGAGGACGGCCATCGCTTGATCGTTGCTGCGAACAACGAGGGACGTCGCGCCGGTTTCGACGGTCTTCTGCGTCTTGCGCAGGGCGAAGTTGTCCTGCTCGTACTGCAGAAGGGCCATGTAGCACTCATCCAGCGTCATGCCGGGCCACTCTTGAATTACGTACTGAGGGTTGTTCCTCTTGTCACGCATCTCGAGAGCGTTGTGCTGATCGCGTTGCGTCGTCATTGTGCGAGATAGGACAAGGCCGAAGGCGGGGTTGAGGCCGACGCGGAAGGTGTTGACGAGCGTCTTGTCGTCGATCGTGCCGCCACGCGAGAGGAGGGCGCCGTGAAGCGTGCGGAAGTTGAGGATGTAGTCCTCGACCTTGTCGCGCGCGTCCTGCTTAAGGTGCATTAGCTGGGTCATCGCCAGCGACCGCTCCTGCTCAGTGTTTGGGCGGATGCCATCCTTGAGCAGGCAAAACAGAACAGAGCCCAGGTTGCGTGCGTTCGTGAGCCCCATGCCCGTCGCTCCGGGCCCGATGTAGTGTGCGCGGGTGGTGTCCGACACTGTGCCGAGCAGAACGGCGCCGAGCTGCACGTCAAGAGTGGCGCTGTAGTCAATGTTGGCCGTGTTGCCGATCATTGGCTCAACAGAGCTGTCGAGGATGCCCCAGACGGGGTACCCGCCGTCAGGCATCTCGCTCTCGAGTGCGGCGCGAAGCTGCTGCGTGAAGCTCTCCCAGTTAGCTCTCGTGAGCTTGGAGATATTGCCCATGAAGGAGCAAGACGCCAAGCTCTTCTTGGGCATCCTCGGATCGACCGGAGGAGCCTGCGGGAGCGTTGTGGCAGCGCGGCCGCCGGCAGGGGCAGCGCCGAGTCCCAGCTGAGCCATCTGCTGAGAGATCTGCTGCGCCACTTGCTGGGCGACTTGCGACTGTGTCGAGCCCGCTGCCATCTGAGGGACAGTGCCCGTTGGGTCACCGTTTGGGTAGGTGATCATGCCCCGAATGTCACACACGAGGCCTTGGCGAAAGGTGGTGATCTCCTTGGCCGCGACGGCGGGATCGCCGTGCGTCTGCATGATGGCCTCGACTTTGTCGTGGAAGTACGAGCTAGTTGCGCTGCTGGTCGCGAGCTTGACGAGGACGTCGCGGACGCAAGTCTTGTTGACAGCGGGTGGAGTGACAGAGTGGATGTCGATCCATGCCTGGTTGACCCAGTCGGCGATCGCGATGCGGTTGTCGTCGAGGATGGCCGAGGCATCGAACTTGGTCATTGCGGACAGGTACTCGAGAGGGCAGTTGCCGATCGTGACGCGGAGGTCAAAGGGAGCATCACTGGTGTTGATGCGCGTGCCTTGTCCGTTGAAGTTCCACTTCATCAAGCCGCCCGGCGGCAGTGCTGTGGGAGCTGCGGCCATCTTGCTTGCAGCCGTGGGCTTGGAAGAGGCAGAGGGCGTGAATGCGGGAGCCGAGGAGGAGAGAGCGACAACAGGGGCGGCGGCCAAGGTAGAGGCTTCCGGCGCGGAAGGGAGTTCCTTCTCAGGAGACTCAGGGGCCTTGCCTTGACTCTTAAAGAAGGTATTGGCTAGAGGCGGCCGAGAGCTGTCCTTGGGCAAGGAGAAGGAAAGCGAACAGAAGAGAGAGACGGGCAAGCGTCTGGTCGACTCGGTCAGAGAACGTCTTGTGGACTCGGTCGGTGACAGTTGGGAGTCGCTGCTGCTGCCGACTTGACGGAGAAGGGCCCTAGTGTTGCCGATGGACGAGCCAATGGTCTGGCCAGTGCGTGAGCCGGAGGGGCTGGCACTTGGCGAGACGGCGGGCTCGGAAGGTTCTGAGAGCGGCTCAAACTCCTCAATCCACGAGGGGTAGTCGGACGAGAGCTTGCTTGCCCTAGCTTGATCGGTGGCTCGGCTGAAGTGCTGGTCGATCTCTTGGCATTGTGCCTCGCTGTACGACAAGAGGTTCAGGAGAGAGACCCTCTCGCTGTAGAGGTCGCTGACGGCCTTGAGACGCTCTGAGCGTTTGGGCTCGAGAGAGGCTGCGTAGAGAGCGTCGTAGAGCTGTTGGGCGCTGTAGACCATGCCCTAAGGCTAGTGGTTGCTTGCCGCGGGTAGTCGCTTTGCTGTTGAAGGCGACAGCGAGAGGTACCAGAGCTTGTGCTACCAACGTGAGTTTGGGGGCTACCTCGGCCGGCGAGGAGCGCCAAGCTCTAAGCCGCGGAGTAGCGCTACCGGCCGGGAAAGGCGTGGGAGCGCACTCAGAGCGGTGGTCGGAGACCAAGAGCGGAAGCTCGGTGCTGCGGTGACAAATCCGCAGACAAAGACGATACACTGGCACGGGTGAGAGTGCCGGTGTCGATCGAGGTAACGCTGTTGTGCAGCGCTACACCTTTGCAGCCGTGTGACGGGCAGCGGAAGCCGAGCGTGACGTCTACAAGTAGACGCAACGCGCCGAGAGGCCCAGTCAATGAAGACTGCGGCGGCTCGGGTCCGAGGAGCTACGCCGGTGCTGGCAAAGCAACTCGATCGAGATGCAACGTCGGTGCTGGCGACGCGGCCCAATAGGCAAGAGGCCTCACCGGGGCTGGTGACGGCGGCTCGCGAAGGGGGCGGAGAGGCCTCACCGGGGCTGGTGACGGCGGCTCGGCGAACAAGGGCAGACTCTGGAGAGAGCGCGCACGAGTCAATTGCTGTGAGAGGCAATGTAAAGACAGAGGGGAATAATTGGGTGACATGTGCGCTTGGGGGCTGGCTCGCGTGAGTATAAGAGGGGATCGCGCCTGTCGAGGAGCGAGACAGGCGCGGTGCGTTGCGCATGGCGCGGGGAGAGACACTAGGCGCAGCCTGAGTGTCGAGAGAGGAGCCGTCAAAATCGGACGGCGAGGAGGGGCGGCCGCCGGCTCAGGAGGTGATGAGCCGGCGGCGTCGAGGGGCGCACGCAAGCGCTAGGTGTGAGCGATGCCTATGTCCTGCCTGTGCTCGCAGCATCAGGGTAGGTTCGGCAATCATCGCTGCGACACCCGCCGTGATGGAGGGGGTGATGTGAAAGGAAGAGGTCGAGGAGCCGACGCGGGATGAACCATGCGCGGCGGCAATTAAGGCGGTGATTGGTTGCTGGGCGTTGCGCAGCGGCGTGTGCGAAGGCGGTGGCGCCGGCTGTGACAAGCGTGAGCAGCGCAATTGCCCCTACCTCTTCCAGATGACGAGACGCGGGGATCGGAGGCGAGCGGAGCGGCGAGTTGAAGATTGTTGGAACAAGAACGGTCGGCGAGACGAGGCGGCGGTGAGGAGACAAGTGGCGGCAATGCGAGGCGTCGCAGGAAAGGGCGCAGTGTCGGCGACGATGAGGCGTCGGCGCGTGCGTCCCGCAGCGGCGTCGGCACGGACCGCGAGATCGCTCTATAGGGGCTGCGCGACAGGGGCCGGCGAGCGACGGCGACGAAGCCGTGGCGTCGCACGGACTCTGCGATGTGAGGCGCGCGCAGCCCTGATCGCAATTCGCACGGCCAGTGTGCGCGCTGCTCCCACGCTGCGCGACGCGCTCCTGGGCCTCCGCCGCTGCCTGCGCGCGCGCGGACCCGTAAATGAGCTCGGATGCCGTCCCAGCAGCCGCCCTCCGGCCTCGTCTCTCTCCTCATCACCACTCCCTGCCGCTCGCAACGTGCGGCTCCCAGCAGCGGCGTCCTCCGCCGATCCCAGCGGCCCCACTCTCGCGCCGTAGAAGCAGCAGCACGCCGCATGCCGTCGTTGCGCTCCAAGCGCGGCGCGGCGGCGCCGGCGCCGGCCTCCTCCTCCACGCGGCGCCCCGGCCCGCGCCGCTCTGGCCGCGGCGCTGCCAAAGGTGCGCCGGACGAGAACAGCGACGACGTCGGCACGCCGTCGGTCGACGAGGGCGAGTACGACGAGGTCCTGCTCACCGAGGAAGACGAGCCTGCGCCGGCGCCTGTCGCCGAGGCAAGCAGCTCGCGCAGCACGCGCGCCTCGAACGCCGCAGGCTCGAGCCGGACCACGCGTGCCTCGGCCACAGCACGCCCGAGCGAGCGCAACGGGCGCTCGCAGAACGGCACGCAGGCATCGGCGGGCAGCGCAGCCGCAGCGAACGGCCGGCCTCGCCCGCGCGCCAGCGCATCTGGCTCTGCTCGGCCTGCGAACGGCGCCCGCTCGACACGCAGCAGTGGGCCCATCGTCGTGTCGGACGACGAAGATGGCGCCAGCGGATCGGACGCTGGCCCAGCGGCACCGGTCACTCGCAGCACCCGCTCGCGCGCTGGTCCGTCGACGGCAGCCGCCGCGGCCGACTCCGAGTCGGACTCGCCGCTGCCTGTGACGCGCAAACGCGGCCGGCCCTCAAACGCCGTGCGCATCGCCACACCGCCCGTCGAGCGTGCAAACAAGAGAGGCCGGCGTACGTCGCCGGTGCGCCGTGCCGCAGTCTCGCTGGCCGAGTCGAGCCCGCCGCCGACGGCGCGCCGCGTCTCGCAGCCGCGCCGCAGCGGAGGTGCGGCGCCAAACTATGCGGAGGCACATGCGCCCGCGTCCGACGATGACGAGCTTGTCAGCGACAATGCAGCGTCCGACGACAGCGAGGACGCTGGGCCGAGCACGCGGCGCACCAGCAGGCGCGGAGCCAATGCACGCAATGGCGCAAGCAGCCGGCGTCCCCGCCGCAGCGCGGCCAGCACAAGTCGCATTGTCGTCGACGATGGCGACGACTCTGACGACTCGCTAGAGCTCCCTTCGCCGGACGCTGACAGCGACACGGCCTTCCGCCCGTCGAAGCGGGCGCCAAAAGCGCGGCGCCGCCCAGGTCGCCCGGCCGGTCGCCCGGCGCGCAAGCAGCGCACGCCGTCGCCGCCCATGAGCGACGACGAGTACATCTACAGCTACTGGGGCTCCGGGCCGGCCCTCGCGGAGAAGACGCGCGTCCGCGACGTCATGCGCACGCCGGCGAGGCAGAGCAACATCGACGTCGACGTTGAGCCGCTCGCGGACCGCAGCGCATTCGGCGCCTTGATCGAGGACGTTCCCGCCGAGCCCGCCGTGCTCGTCGACGACTCGTCGGACAACTACGCCTCGAGCCAGAGCGACGAGGAGGTCGACGAGCTGCTCGGCGACTCCGACGACGCGCGCAAGTCGCGCTCGCGCCGGCACCAGCGCGTGCTCAGCAGCGACGACGACGCCACGAGTTCTTCGTCGTCTGCGAGCGACAGCGCCGACTCGTTCCAGGGCCCCGCAAGCGTGGGCTCAGGCGACGAGGTCGTCGATGCGGAGAAGCCCATTCTCGACCGGCACTGGGAGATGTAAGTCGCCATCGCCGTGTCGCTGCGCCGCTGCCGCTGTCCTGACGCGTCTCGCTCCCAGGTGCCACAAGTGTCTCGACTCGCCGGGCTGGCAGCAGATGCACGCGCTGATGTCGATGCGCGGCAAGCTGCGCAAGCAGAATCGCAAGTCGAAGGGCCGTCTGAAGCACGCACGCACGCTCGGAGGCCGCGTCAAGCGCGTGCTCGGACAGTACGACGAGACGGAGGCGATCGACGGCACGCTGGAGGACCGCGTGGAGCTGCTCCGCGACCAGATCGTCGACCTCGGCGGCTGGCTCGAGTGCTGCACGTGCTCGGCAAGCTTCCACTGGGGCTGCCTGCCCTCGAGCCGCCAGAAGGGCATTCTCCGCGAGCTCAACGAGATTCACGAAGCGATCCAGCAGAACACGCGCCCTGACGAGCCCTACGTCGAGCGCGTCGCGGTCGCGTGGAACGAGTCACTCAACTTTGTCGAGTGCGGCGACTGCAATGCGCCGCAGCACTACCGCTGCATGCTGTGCCACGGCGACCAGCCGCGCGGCACGTCGGCGCAGACGGACAGGCTCTTCCGCTGCATTCGCTGTCGCCGTGGCGCCCACTACGAGTGCTGTCGCCAGCTTGAGGGAGATACTAGCGTGGAGGCTACGGCGGCGAAGAGACAGGGCGCCAAGTGGCGCTGCGTTGACGTGAGTCTGGAGTCGGAGGAGCCGGCCTCAGTCCTGCTTGCGTGCTCACGTCCTCTCTCGCCATCGACAAGTGCGAGGGCTGGGGCGAGATCGAGTCGGTGCTGGCCTGGCGTCCGTCGCCCGATGCGCACAAGCATCCGGAGCTCGAGCCCAAGGCGGGAGAGGAGATGCCGGCCTTCTCGCCGAAGGACGACCTCAAGCGCGAGTACCTCGTCAAGTTCGAGGGCGTGTCCTTCCGCGAGACGCAGTGGGTGCCGCACGCCTGGCTGAGCGTCGTCGCTGCCCAGGCGCTGCTCCGCTTCCTGCAGAACGGCTCGCGCGTCGAGCTGGACGACACCGTCGCCGTCGATGCAGGCCGCGTGCCGCAGAAGGCGCGTGTGCAGAAGGCAGGCGTGGCCGGCTCGCTGAGCAAGGAGCGCGCTGCCGTCGTGCTCGCTGCGCCCAAGCGTCGCAGCCGTCGCCGCAATCGTGCCGTGGAGGTGCAGGCTGAAGAGACGACCGAGGTGGTCATCGAGCGCCAGGGCCCACCTCGCGCCGCGCCCGATGCCCAGGAGCGCATCCCGCTGCCGTGGCGCACGCCTGACCGCGTCCTCGACGTCTTCTTCCGCGTCGACATCCTCGGCGCAGCTGGACGCATCGCAGCGCGCAACAAGGAGCCGCCGAACCCCTACCGCCGTCCGCGCGCGAAGCAGCACGCCGAGAACCGACAGCGCTTCAAGGAGGACCCAAACTTGCTGCACATCGACGAGGTCGACGAGGCGCTGCTCGACGACGAGAACGCCGGCGAGTCGCTGCCGTACGTCGCCAAGCTCTTCGTCAAGTGGGAAGACGTGCCGTACGAATTCAGCACGTGGGAGAACGGGCCGGATGAGGAGGAGCAGGCCGACATCTTCGACGAGTACCTCGCGGCCTTCAAGCGCTATCTCTCGTCGCGCAAGGTCAACGTGCCGCTACTCACGCAGGAGGAGATGCAGGACCTCGACGACCGCCGCCGCATGCGCTTCACGGCGCTGCGCAGCCAGCCGAACTACGTGCGCGAGGGCCAGCTGCTCGACTTCCAGCTCGAGGGCTTGAACTGGCTGCGCTTCAACTGGTTCAATCACCAGCCGGGCATCCTCGCCGACGAGATGGGTCTCGGCAAGACGATCCAGATGATCGCGTTCCTCGGATCGCTGCAGCGCGAGCACAACGTCGCTCCCTTCCTCGTCGTCGTGCCGAACTCGACGATGGGCAACTGGGTGCGGGAGTTCGAGTCATGGCTGCCGTCGCTGCATGTGGTGCCGTACTTCGGCTCGGCCGACTCGCGCGACGTCATCGAGCAGTACGAGCTCTACCACGAGGTCAAGCTGGACGGCCGGCAGCGCCTCAAGTGCCACGTGCTCCTCATCTCGGACACGGCCGTACGCCAGAACCCCGGCATCCTGCGCCGCGTGCCGCGCTGGGAAGTGATGGTCGTCGACGAGGGCCAAAGCCTCAAGGGCGGCGAGAGCAACCTGCTGTTCCGCCGCCTCAGTGAGGTGCCTGCGGCGCACCGCCTCATCATGACGGGCACGCCGCTGAACAACAACATCGGCGAGCTCTTCAACCTGCTCAAGTGGCTCGACCCCGGCGGCGAGTGGGACGACGTCGAGGCGCTGAAGAAGAAGTACGAGGTGCTCACGCCCGAGCTCATCGAGTCGCTGCAGCCGCGCCTCAAGCCCTTCTTCCTGCGCCGCCTCAAGGCCGACGTCGTCAACCTGCCGCCAAAGACGGAGCTCATCGTGCCCGTCTCGCTGCGTCCGGTGCAGAAGCGGCTGTACAAGAGCGTGCTCGAGAGCAACATCGAGGACATCCAGGCGCTCACCGACGAGGTGCGCAGCAAGCAGCGCAAGAAGAAGGCCATCACCAACATGAACAACATCTTGATGCAGCTGCGCAAGTGCATCCAGCACCCGTACCTCGTCGCGCCGAACCTCGAGATCCGCGAGACGGACCGCAACTACGTCGCCGAGGAGGAGCTGGCGCGCTTCGTCGATGCGAGCGGCAAGCTCATGCTGCTGAAGGTGAGGCAAGCGGCAGGGTCAGGCGACTGCACAGGCTGACGTTCGACCTCCACAACAGCGCCTGCTGCCGAAGCTCAAGGAGCGCGGCCACCGCGTGCTGCTGTTCTCGCAGTTCGTCATCAACCTCGATCTCGTCGAGGATCTGCTCGACTCGGAGGGCTACAAGTACCTGCGTCTCGACGGCTCGCTCGGCAACAAGCAGCGGCAGAAGGGCATCGACGCCTTCAACGCGCCGAACAGCGACTTCTTCATCTACATCCTCTCTACGCGTGCCGGCGGTGTCGGCATCAATCTCGCCACCGCCGACACGGTCATCGTCTTCGACCCCGACTTCAACCCGCACGCCGACATGCAGGCCATCGCACGCGCGCACCGCATTGGACAGGTCAAGCACGTCCTCGTCTTCACGCTCGTCGGCCGCAACACGGCCGAGGAGCGCATCGTCGAGGCGGCCCGCCGGAAGATGGTCCTCGACCATCTGATCGTCCAGAACCTCGACAACGAGGACTCGCGGCCGGACATGCTGGAGAACATCATCAAGCACGGCGCGCAGGCGCTCTTCGCCGAGGGCGGCGTCGAGGAGACGGAGCAGGACATCCGCTACACGGACGAGGACCTCGACACGCTGATCGAGCGTGCCGAGACCGAGGAGCAGGTCGAGGCGCGCCCCGAGGGCGAGGGCGTGACGACGGACTTCTCGTTTGCACGCGTGTGGGAGCTCGACAAGGCCTCGGACAGCGCCGACATGGGCATGACGGACATCGCCGACCAGAGCTTCTGGCACGACCTGCTCGAGACGAGTCGCGAGACGGAGCGCCTGCGCCGCGAGCGCCAGGAGAAGGAGGAGCTCGAGCGCGGCTCGCGCCGCCGCATCAAGGTGCAGCCCGGCTTCTACGCATCGACGCTGCGCGGCCAGGCGGACGACTCCGATTACGACAACGTCAGCGATGCAGACTTCGTCGCCGACTCGCAGGCGCGCAGCCGCAGCAACAGCGACTCGGAGATGGCTGGTCCGGCGGCAGTGGCAGAGGACGCTGCTGCGCTGGCGGCTGCCGACAAGGCGAAAGCGCAAAGACGTCGGCCCAAGCCCAAGCCCGTTGCCGTCGCATCGGCTGGCGGAGCAGCGCCGCCTGCGGCCGCAGGAGCAGCGCCGCCTGCGGCCACCGGAGCAGCGCCGCCTGCGGCCACCGCTGCAGCTCCGGCCCAGGCCGCTGGCGACGCTGCAGTCGCTGTTCCGCAGAAGCGCGGACGAGGACGCCCGCGCAAGCACCCGCTGCCAGAAGGCGCGGCCGGCGGTGCAGCCAGGCCGGCGGCGCCGACTCCTCCCGTCGTGCCCGAGCCCAGCGGAGAGGAGCCGCCGACGAAGGACGAGGCGCAGTTCGTGCTCGAGCAGCTGCCTCGGCCCATCGTGTCGGAGATCCTGGAGCGGCGTGCGCGCAAGGTCGCCGTCATGCCTCTTCAGGCGCCCGACACGCGCCCGCAGCTCACGCCCGTGCATGCTGTGAGTCAGCGCGCGCCCGCTCGCCTCGTGTCGTGCTTGTCTCACACGTCCTTTCGCAGTCGTACTTCGCGCAGTCGCTGGGCTTCCCGTACATCGTCTTCCGCTTCGCCTTCTCGTTCGTGGGCTCGCACCAGCTGCCCGCCAACGTGCGCGGGCTGCCGAACGACGGCGCGGCGTTCCTCGACGCCAACGTCGTGCGCGAGCACCTCATCCGCGCCTCGCACGCGATCTACCAGATCTGGTGCAACGACGAGGAGCTGCCTCGGCCGCGCCTGCTGACGGCCAAGGAGGCAAAGCAGCTGCTGAAGACGATCAACACGCTGCACATGCACAATCTCACCGAGGCTGTGCCACTCATCGTCGCCGACGACGTGACCGCGCCGCAGCAGCACACGATGATCTCGGCCATCCGAGAGAGCGTCGTCAAGGAGCTCGCCCGACGTCAAGAGCTGCTGCGCAGCAACGAGACGCCCATGGTCGCTGCCGCCGAGCGCAAAGCCCTCGCTGCTGCACAGATGCTCTCTGAGCTGCTCGTCAACATCAGCGGCGCAATCCCGCAGGCACCGAAAGCGCCGGTGCCTCGGCGCCCGAGAGCGTCGCAGGCCGAGATGGCCGAACGGCGCGCGGCTCAAGCCGCCAAGACGGCGCCGCCGGTCAACCCTCTCGCGGTCGCCACAACGGCGATGACTCTGGCGCAGGCGCAGATGCTGCGCCAGGCCACCGGCCGGCCTCAGAGCCCCGCCGCTCGGCAGGCGCGGCAGTCTGCTACGGCGACGCCGTCCGGCGCCGCGGGCTCGCCGCTCGCTGCGCCGCCTGTGACTGCGCCGTACTCTCCGGCCGTGCAGGCAGCTGCTCAACCGCCGGTGCCAGCGCCGGCGCCGGTCTACAACCCGTCGCCGTCGCCGCCTCCTGTCTCCGCTCTGCATCGCCCGCCGCCCACGGTATCGTTTGCTGCGCCCAGCACCAGCGCGAGCATCGCCCCTCCTCGCGCCGCGCCGCCCGTGCCGGCACCTCGGCCCGTCGCTGCTCGACCCATGGCTCCCGCAGCACCACAGCGACAGCTCGCTCCTGCTGCGGTTGCCACACCGACCCGGCAGTCGTCTTCTTCTTCCCAGGGCGCCGCGCGCGCTGTCGCTTCGCCGACCGTCATCAGCGCGCCGTCAAGCAGCGCCGCAGCCGCACCGCGCCCTCGCTCGCGCCCGGTGGGCCGCGACCTGCAGAACTCCAAGTCTTGCCCGGTGCGTCGGCGCTTGTTGCCCAGCGCGACGCCCCCGCTTGCTTACACTCGCTCCTGCAGATCTGCCGCGGCACATTCCACTTCCTCAACAAGTGCCCGACGATGGCGGACCTCGGCACTGCCACGCAGCGCTACGTCGAGATAGCCAACGAGGCGCTCGCCGGCGCGGCCGACCCGATGCTGACGCGCACGGTCCACTTCATGTACCTCTTCCTCGAGAAGCGCCATCCCGACGCGAAGAGCCTGCCGCGCGTCGCGGCGTGAGCCCTCCTGTACCCGTGCGACCATTTAATGTGACGTGGTGACGACCATGCGCGAGAGTGTGTGGCATCGCGTGCTGAAGCGCAATCTCCGCACGGCCTGATGTGCGGTGACAGCAGACGCTGGCCTATCCCAAGAACGAGGTGAGTCGTGGCGGATCGAGGACGCAGACAAGACGGTTCCGCTCGGCAATGAGGCGGCTGTGCGCGCTCAGGCTCCACGCTGTCTGTCCTCGCATCGGACCAGATAGCGGCCGCAGCGGAAGCGGGTGGCCCCTGGAGCGCCCGTGGAGCTCACGGCCAGCCGCTCAGAGGCGGCACGAAGAGCACACGCCCGCGCTGTGAAGAGACAGTCAAACAGCTAGATGATATGCCTGCATTCGCTGCGCGCGTCTAGCGGATCATGGTGCCGCCGGCAAACTCCATGCTCGGCCGCACGGGCTGCACGTTGTTGTTGGCGTCGTCGCAGGCGCTGAGGATCATGCCGTGGCTCTCGAGGCCCATCATCTTGACGGGCGCCAGGTTGGCGACGATGGCGACGCGCTTGCCGACGATCTCCTCGGGGTTCACCCAGGCGGCGATGCCCGAGAGGATCTGGCGCGGCTTCTCGTCGCCGGCGTCGAGCTCGAAGCGCAGCAGCTTCTTCGACTTCTTCACCGGCTCGCACACGAGCACCGTGGCGACGCGCAGGTCGATCTTGGAGAACGTGGCGATGTCAATCATCGCCGGCGGCTCCGCGGGCGCCGCCTTCTCCTTCTTCGCCGCGGCCTTGTCGCCGTCGGCAGGCGCAGCGGCCGGCGCCTTGGATGGGTCCAGCGCGGCAGCGACCTTCTTGGCGTCGTAGCGGCCGAGCAGCGTCTTCTGCTCGCCGATGCTGCACTCCTGTGCCGTGAAGACCTTGGAAACGTCGAACACGTCGGCCTTGATGGCGAACATCTCGCCGGCGGTCAGTGCCAGCTTGGGCGCGATGGGGCAGAGCGCGACGATGAGGGCCTGGTAGATGTTGACGAGGAGCGTGCATGCTGCCCGTGCCTCCTCCTTGTCCTTGCGGATCGAGTTCCACGGCTGGCGCAGCTTCATGAGCTCATCACCAATGTCGGCGATCTGCACCACAGTTCTGGCAGCGGCGGCGAGGTCGCGCGCCACGTAGGCCTCCTGCACCTTCTTCGTGAGCGCCACGACCTGCTGCGCGAGCGCGAGCGGCTCGCCGGCGGCAATGTCCTTGGCGCTGGCGTCAGCAGAGGCGGCGTTGGCCTCCTGCGCCGCCGACGGCTCGAAGGGCAGCTTGCCGATCTGGTTGTCGAGGCGGCTGATAACGAACTGGCCGACGCGGCCGCTCGTCGCCGCGATCTTGTTGACGAGCTCGGCGTTGACGCGCGTGACGAGATCGTCGATGCTCAGCTCGGCGTCGGACGTCGAGGCACCGAGCTTGCTGGCAAAGTAGAAGCGCACGGCAGACGGGTCGACGACGTCGGCGACACGCGCAGCCTCGAGCGCCGTCAGGCCCTCGAACTTGCCCTCGCCGGCAGCCGCCTGCACGCCGGCGAAGAGGTTCTCGGCGGCGACATCGCTCGGGCCCTCGGCAGCGACCTGAACGTCGTACTTGGCCAACTCGGGCACGGCAGAAGCGTCGCCCGGTGCGACGAGCGCAGCCTCGCGGCCCAGGGCACGCAGGGCGCGCACGTAGATGTCGCTCTGCGTGTACGGCGCCAGCTCGCCGAGCGAGAGGCCGGCCTTGGGCAGGCCGGCCGAGACGGACACGCGCTGCGACGCCATGGTGCGACTGATGGAGAAGAGGCGGTGTGTGCTTGCGATGCGGATCTGTGCTTGGTGGTGGCTTGCAGTGGATGTCTGTCTGAGCACGCTGTTGAAGAGAGTGCCTCGCAGCATGCAGCTTGATGGGTGTGGAGCGAGAAGAAGCGAGGGCGCAGCGCCACGGCCAAATTGGCCAGCGCGCGTCACGTGATGGCGCCGCTCGGACCTCCCGCTTGACCTGGTCCTCGCTCCTTCATCTGCGCCGCAGCGGCGGTGGCGCCGGGCGAGAGGGCATGTTTTTGCGCTCAAAATGCTGATGTACCGCTCGTACAGGTATGCTGAGAAGGAGAGAGCAGTGCTCGTGCTCGCGGTCGAGCAATCTCGTGAGCTGCGTTGAGTCGCACCTTGTCGAAATACGCTTTACACCCTCCTGTTCCCAATGAGCCTTGCCTTCTCTGCTAGCCCTACTCGGCAGGGACGCCATTCATACCGAAAGCACACACGAGCTGGCCACGCAAAGGATGCTCGTCATCGTCGCTCCCCCTGAGAGCTCTCGTCAGGGGACGGTGTCGCTCGTCGTGCCGCGGCCCTGCTCTCGGGCCACGGCGACCAAGCTCTTTCCCCGGCACGTCAAGGGCGCAAGCACAAGCGCCGGGCCAGCTCAAAGGAACCCTTGGCGAGGCGCGACGATCTTCCAGGACCCTCGCACACGCCAAGGCCGGCCGATGGCGCGGCGGTGCAGTGCGTGCATGGGCGGCGAGCGCCAAGTAGGCGGCACATGCGCGAGCGCTGCGCCGCGGCTACGATCGGGCAGCCCTGACGCTGCATAGGCTGCGTCTGTCGTCGCTGCGTGCTCACACAGCCACAGTCGCAAGCAGGAGCGAGAGGACCCGGCGCTCTCAGCAGCCAGCGCGGATCGCGACACAGCCAGACGAGCGCACAGCAGCAGGGAGGCAAGGCGTTGTGCCGTCGCATGCGGATGCGGCGTGCGGGGAGGGCCGACGTCGAGATGGCGTTGGCACGGCCGCCGGCAGCCAAGACACCACGCGAGGATCGACGTCGGCGGAGGCGTGTCGCGCTGAGCGCGAATAAGACGCGCTGCTCCATGACGCTGGCTGGCGAGGAGGAGGGGGGGGGGCACGGGAGCGCGGCGGGTGTTGTGACAGGGCACGGCGCGGTGCCGGGGGCGTGCTGCTGCCGTGCCTGTGGAGCGCGGCAGGCACAAGCACAGAGCACGACAGGCCGCCGCCGAGCGTCGCCGACCGCCTCTTGGCGCTGGTGCTGCCTCTCCGCCTCCGGCACCGCGGCCGGCCTGCGGCCACGGCAGACGGCAGCGCGAAGCGCGAAGGCAGCCCGCACCGACCGCCGCCCGCGGCCTCAGCGCAGCCTTGCGGCTTGCTGCTGCCTGCCGCCTGCCGCCTGTGAGCGGCTGCCCGCCCGCCGCGAGCTGTCGCAGCAGCAAGAGTGTGCGTCATGGAGGCGCCGCATGTGCCTCGCGGGCTCGCGCGGCACGCCGCCTGTCAGCGTGCCGTGGATCTGCACGCGCGGTGATCCGCGGCGGCGGGCGCGGTAGAACGCACGACGCTTCTCTCTTGCGGCGCGCCGCGGCGGGAGAGGAGAGGAACGGGCTTGCGGGCTGCCGTCCTGCCGCGAGGGTCCGATTCGGGGTGCCTGCCCGCGCCACACTGCTGCAGTGCCCAGACAGCTCAAGCTGCACGCCACGCCACGCTGAGCAGCGCAGCCCAGAGACTAGGCGTGCGGGCGGCGCCCCTCTGCGGCAGCACGCGGCGGCGGGCCACCCCTCGACACTAGACTCTCGCGGGCAGGGCCCTTGCTCTCTCGTGAGGCGCTTTGAAGCCTCAGCGAGCGAAGTAGCGTGCCGCCGCGCATCATCAGGCAGAAGGCGCGGCGGCGGCCCGAGAGCGACGGCCGGCCGGCGCGGTGCGGCGGTGCGGCGCCTCGCCGCGATACCGACGTGCAGCGAGAGCCAAGCACCGCGCCGGCGCGCCTGTGCAGCCGAGCCCAGCGCTGTCGAGACCCGTGCCGCGCCCCGACACTCCGTGCTCGCCTCGCCCTTCGCTCCTGACCACAGGCATCCATCAGCAGTCGCGCACCCTCATCCCTGCCAGCCTCTCACCTCCTCTTCTCTCCGCTCGCTTCCATCACCCGCCGAGCCTGCGCGGCCCTCCTCGCCAGCGACAACAGCTCTCGTAGAGGCCTGTCTGACGCTCTCACTCGGCGCATCTAGGCGCCTCTGCCCCGAGGCATCTGCCTCCGAGTTGCTTCACTCTCGCGGCTTTCCTTCATCATGTCCGCATCGGTCGCAGCACCCGCCAGCGGTGCGGCAGTGCCGGCTGTGTCGCCCAGCGCCGAGCAGGCCAAGACGCGCGGCGGCCTGCCGGGCCTCATCACGCGCGGCCTCTCCAAGTCGAGCCTGCGCAGCACCGACGCCGAGTCGCCCGGCAACGAGCGCACTCCGCGCACGCCCAGCACGTCTGCAGACCGTCCGGCGGCGAACCGTGCGCGCAGCAGCTCGAGCGTCCTCGCGCGCCTCGCGAGCCGCAGCAGCGCGCACACGTCGAAGGACGAGCCGTCATCGCCCTCGTCCTCCAAGATGGACCGCGCCGCGCTCGAGAAGCCGCGCGGCAAGTACAAGAGCGGCGTCAACTGGAACGCGCCGGGCCTTGCGCTGGACCATGAAGAGCCCTTCATGCAGACGTCCTACGTCGGCTCGCCGACCGATGAGCAGGAGAAGCACCTGAGCGCGGAGGAGGAGCTGCGCCTCGCGGCAGAGCGCGAGCAGGCAGAGGCGGGCCAGATGCTCTCCGCCGGCAGCACGGCGGCAGCCAAAGCGCACACCCAGCGCGCGTCGCAGGCCGAGCCCTTCTTCCTCGCACACCAGCGCGCGCTCGACTCGAACGCGCAGGACCAGTCTCAGCGCGAGGCAGCCACGGCGACGATTGGTCTGCGCAGCCCAGCCGTGCCGAGTCCTCTGGGCTCGTCGCCTGGCCGCTCGCCCGCGCGCAGCCCGCGCTCCATGGGCCGGGCGGCGCCCAACGGCGTCAGTCATGATGCGCTCGTCGCCGAGGAGGGACAGCGCATCCTCGCCGCAGCCCGGCTGCAGGCTGCTGGCGGTGTGTACCAGCCGCCGATGCTCGGTCCCGAGGGCACCTCTCCGTCGTCCTCGCCGCGTCTGCAGGGCGCCACTGCTGCGATTGCGGAGGGAGACGAGCGCTCGCTGAGCCCGGAATCTGGCAATTCGCTCGAGGTGCCCGGCGTCGGCGACGGCAAGTCGTCGCGCAGCCCCTCGCCGGACCCGAGCACGAAGAGCAAGCGCAAGACGTTCCTGGGCTTCGGCGGCGGCAGCTCCAAGGCTGACAAGGCCGCCGAAAAGGCAGAGCGCGCCGCCGAGAAGAAGAGCGGCTCGTCCAGCAAGCCCTCGTCGCGGCGTGCGTCGCGCGTGGACCTCAGCATGACGAGCGCATCGGGCAGCGCGAGCAACTACGACTTTGCCGACACGATGAGCATCGACAGCAGTCACGGTTCCATCGGGCCGAACGGCACGGCGCGCCGGCGCCGGTACAAGGACACGCGCGGCCTCGACATTCTCGCGTCCGAGCTCGCAGCCGAGGCGCTGCTCAGCCAGTCCATGCCGTCGTCGTCGAACGGAGACTCGATGATGCTGCCCGGCTCCTTCACGCCCGAGGCGCGTCGCGCGTCGATGATGAGCGTTCTGGGCCAGGGCACGCCGAGCAACGCAAGTCAGGCCAGCCTCTCTCCACTCGCAGCTCCGCAGCCGCCCTTCGCAAACGGCGGCGGCTACGGCGGCGGCAGTGCGTCGTCTTCGCGCAACAGCTCCCCTCGCCTCGGCGCCAGCGACCTGCCGCGCTTCCAGTCGACCAATTCGCTCTCCGTGCCCTCGTCGCCCTACGCCACGCAGAAGGCGCAGGTCAAGGGCCTGCCGACCGACATGCTCACGGGCCTCGGCGACGGACCCTACCCATCGCTTCCGCCGCGCCGCCTCGAGGATGTCGGCGCGACAGATCCGTTCGGCCTGCCGATGGACCACGGCAGCACGCCGTACGACATCAGCAGCACGTACGTCAACCGCACGTCGGTCTACCACACGCCGGTGCAGGTCAACGCGCAGGCCCGCTCGCGCAACGTCAGCGCCACCAGCGCCTCGACGGCGCCGACGAGTGCCAAGCGTGCCGTGCTGCAGATGTCGATGCACAACCCCGAGACGGAGCTGCAGGGCCTGACGAAGCCGCCGAAGAGCGGCAAGTCGACGCCCTTCGGCGGCGGCTCGCGTGCCCCTTCGCGCACTGTCACGCCCAAGACAAGTGTCTCGCAGCTTCGCACTCCTGCCTCGCCCGCAGGCGTGACCGCCACGCCGACGCAGGCCGAGCATGCCAAGCAGAGCGCCCGACTGCGCGAGGCCAGCGAGAAGCTGCAGCAGAGCACGCAGCGCCGCGCGAGCCCTCCAGCAGCGAATAGCAGCGCCGCTCCTCTGGCGCCTGGGCCCGCGCCTGAGCCCGTTCCGGGCGTGCCTGCATCCGTCAAGGCCTCGCCGACTGTCGTGGCTGCGAGCACGCCGTCCATGCCTCCGCCATCCCAGCCCGCTCCGAAGCAGCTCAGCGCTGCTGCGACCGTGTCGCCGCCATCGAGCCCACAGAAGGGCGCCCGGCCTCCCGCGCGGCACCGTCTGTCGTTCTTCGGCGGCAAGAAGAGTCAGCCGGCCAGCCCGGCGCCTCCCTCGCCCAAGCCGGCGGTCAAGGGCCCAACGAAGTCATCGATCGTCGCCAGCACGCTCAAGCCGGCCGGCGACATCGTGGCTCCAGTGCTCAACAAGATCCCGTCGCGCAACACGGTCGACTCTTCGGCTGAGCGCGGCGCTAGCCCTTACTCGGAGAGCGGCAGCTCGGCAGCTCCGCACCTCTCGACGCCGGCACCTGTCGGAACTTTCCGCCGCAGCTCGACGACGCCCGACGTGCCGCGTGCGGCACAGACGAAGGCTGCCGCGCCTCCGGTGCCCGCTGTGCCAGCGGCCGCCAGGAAGCAGCAGTCGGCGACGCTGGGCCACACCAGTGCGCTGCGCGCCGACCTGCCGGGCAGCAAGAGCAGCACGACGCTCAGCAACGGCAAAGAGGCGCGCGCCAGCAGCGAAAGCACCAAGTCTGTCTCGAAGTTCTCGCGCTTCCTCTCGCGCCTGAGCGGCAAGTCGAGCGCGCCCACGAACGCGACGCCAGTGGCCAAGAAGACGCCGACGAGCCATGTCTCGTCGGGCGCATCGACGCCGAGCAACGCCGCGCCCAGCTTCGCCACCGCGCAAGAGCTCACGGCGCCGAACTCGCCCGAGCAGACACGCGCGTCTCTCGTCGGCATGCCCACGAAGCAGGTGAGCCCGGTCGCAAATGTCGACTAGACACATGCGCTGACGAGCATCTCGACAGGAGCTCAGCTCTGAGGAGAAGGACGTCGCCGTCGCCCGTGCCTTTCTCAACCCCGAGATGAGCGCCTCCGGCTTCGGTACGCGGGCAGCCTACAGCAGCGCCTCCGCTGCGCCGGCGTCGGGCGCCGTGGCGCTCTCGGAGCGCTCGCGCAGCGCCAGTGCCGACCGCTCGGGCTCGCTCGACGAGCACAGCCCGCAGGCCAGCGAGGGCTCGCAGGAGCACGGCGCCTCGGCCGGCTCGGCCTCGACGCGCTCCGCCACGAGCGCCGGCACGCTGGCCACGACGCCGAATGCCAGCACCGGCATGGTCGCTGCCAGCAAGGACGTCGTGGTGCCCATCGAGGAGGCGGATGGAGCCACCAGCATGCCTCTGCGCACCGTGGCCGCCTAGTGCTGGCAGCGCCCGCTTCGATCCATACCACCTCATCTCAGCGCATCTGCGACTCGCAGACCTCATAGACGTCTTCTCACACCTCACAGCCTAATGACAACTCTGGATCCCTCTCGCTCGCGCGGCCCGCGCCTCGTCTCCTCGGCTCTGCAGCTTCGCAGGCTCACTGTCTCTTCGCGTCCCCCCGGCTCAGTCTTCCGCCCGAACTGCGGCGCGGAAGCGGCCGTCTCGTCACACGCTCCTTTCCTATGCCCTTCTCGCCTCTCCATCTCTCGCCGCGCCTCTCTCTCGGCCCCATCCGCACGTCGTAGCAGCACCTTCGCCTTCACGTCGCCGCCCGCACAAGTGCGCCTTCGCTTCGCACGCCGCGGCGCGCCCCAGCACATTCGATCCGCTCTTCACCATCTGGCCCACCTCACGCCGTCTTCGAATGACATGCGCTCTATCCATCGACAGTCTGAGTCTGGCTGAGTGCTGCAGAAGGTATACTTGAGGATGTAGCTGCGTGCGTGCTAGAATACAGAGGTGATGGGGTGATGCGAGGGGAAGGTGACTGCGAGTGAGGGAATGCGAGCAGGAGCGCCGCGGGCAGACTAGCCGACAGAACGCTTGCCCAGCTTGAGCTTGAGCTTCGGCGCACCGGCAGTGGGCGTGGAAGGCGAGGCAGCGGGCGGGCTGCCGGCGCTGCCCGGTGTGCCAGGCCCGCCAGGTGTAGCACGAGCGCCGAAGAAGACGGGCGGCACGCCAGAGAGGGGCGTGCCGGGCGGCGCACCGTACATGCCGCTGGCCGTCTGCATGAGCGAGGGCCGGCGGGCACCATCGACGCCTCCGGCGGGCTGCGGCGCCGTCTGCCGACTGGAGGCCGACGAGGCCATCGTCGAGGGACGCGGCGCCTCCCACATGCGGCACGACGTGTTCGTGGCCATGTGGCCGATGTCGCCGCAGCGGCCGCAGCGACGCTGAAAAGAGAAGAGAGTCAGCGCTGATGAGTGATGCACGCGCGAGCGCACGCACCTTGGTGTCTGTCTTGTTGACGAGTGCCTTGTAGCCGCCCTCGATCTCGAGACCCTCGGCGGCAGCCTTCGCCTTCTTGCGCTGCAGACGACGCTCCTGGTTCTTTTTGGCGGCCGCGATCTCGTCCTGCAGACGCTTGCGGCGCGCGGCGTTGATGGCGGCGTCGTCTGTAGGCACCAGTGCCTCCGAGGCCGTCGTCTCGTCTTCGATGCGCTGGCGCTGGCGCACGTACGCGTGGATGACGCCCGGGTCGCGCACGACTTCGGACACCCACTTGTTCTTGATGAAGCGGCGGATCTTGAGCACGCGCGTGTCGACGTCGGCCTGGCTCTCGTCGTCACCGGGCGTCTGCGCAGCGGGCGTGGCATCGTGCCGCACGGACTGCGCCCGACTGTGTCCGCGCACATGAGCAGCGCTGGGCGTGGGTGCAGCGGCGCTGTACGCGTCCTCCTCGTCCATCTCCGGCGGCACCGGGTTCGAGAGCGAGTCGGACTGCGCCTTCCAGATGCGCTCGACCTCGCTGCGGTAGATCGTCTTCTGCTTCTCGACGTTGTACTTGTGGCCCGACTTCTTCTCCTCCTCGTACATGATGGCTGCAGAGAGCTGGTCAGCAGAGGCCTGGCAGCAGAGATGCGGCCTGACTCACCTCTCCGCTCCGCCTCCGTCGCATGAGCCGGGAAGAATACCTCCTTCATCGACACACGCAGCATCGCAAACGCCTCGCCGCGGCCGGTGGGGTCGCCCTCGCCGTGCAGGCTCAGCATCGCCTTGCCCTGCGTGGCGTGCAGGAAGTTCTTGGATGTAATCCACGGCGCCAGGCGCTGCTCGATGGACATGGAGCTGTCGTCATTGTCCTCGTCCTTCTGCGAGACCTCCTGCGTGTAGCCCGAGTCGAGCAGGTGGCGCTGGCCCGACTGCATGGCCTCGCACAGCGCCATGTGCTCCGGCGGCAGCAGCTTCTGCAGCTCGACGTCCTCGGGTGGCGTGATCTCAGGCTTGAGCTTCCAGTAGCCCTGGTCGTGGTCGCCGGCGGTGCGGTTGTACGCCATGAACTCCTGCAGCGCAGCGTCAGCAGGTGCTCAAGTAAGGTCCGAGGCAGCAGGACGCACCTTCAGGCGCTGGCGCATCTGCAGCTCGTTCTGCTCGGGGAAGTAGCGCATGATGCGGTGGATTTTGATGCGGTTGCCTGGCGTCGTCGCGACGAGGCGGTAGGCGATCATCTGCAGGCGCGTCTTGATGGCGTTGGTGACGAGACGCGCGTGCGGGCCGGGCACCTGGACGAGCGGGTACGTCTGCCCAACGACGAAGAGGTTCTTGATCTCGCGCAGGTAGTAGCTGATCTCGTTCTTCGTCGTGCTGCGGATGAGCAGAAAGTCGGTTGACGCAGGCTTGTGCCGGAAGAGCGGCGCGCGGACCATGTTGTTGTACAGCGTCGGCTGCGTCTGCCCTGGTCGCACGCTGCCGAACTTCATGAAGGGCGACTCGTCGGTCTCGTCGAGGACGAACGGCTCGCCAAGGTCCGACTGCGAGGCATAGTCAGCGCACGAACGCACAGGCGGCAGCGGAGACACTCACGCGCGGAATGTGCTCGTCCTTGGCGTCCTTCTTGCGGTAGTAGTTGACGATGAGTGAACCCATGCCGAGCTTCGAGAGGATGGGCGGGTACTCCTCGGAGTACTCGTACATGACGAATTGGCTCGTGTCCTTGAGCGTGAGGTCGCGCGTGCTCTTGAGCATGTGCTCTGGATCCTTGCCCTTGCCGCCGCTCTTGTTGCTGCCGCCGCGCTCGTCCTTCTTCTTCTTCGACGAGCGCACCTTGGAGAAGCGCAGCGGGATGTTCGTCGGGAACACCATCGCCGGCCGGTGGAAGGCACGCGCCTCGCCCTTGTTGATGCGCGTCTTGTACTGCGCGTGGAGTGGTGAGCAGCGAACAGACAGGCATGGCAATTAGCACTCACGAAGGGCAGCTGCAACCGATTGGCCGGCGGCGCGTGCTGGATGACAAGCTGGCCGAGCGTCTGGCGCACGCGCTGCCGGTGCTCCTTCGTCACTTCGTAGAAGCGGTCGTTGGACAAATTCAGTGGGTCGAGCTCGGCCGCCGTGCGCGCCGCTCGCGATGTGACAGCCGGCGCATCGGCGCGGATCAGTAGCGATGCGTTCTCTGCGGTCGAGTGATGAGCACGCCAGACGAGGCCTTGCTTGTGCGCAGGTCCACTCACCGCGCGAGCCGGCGTCATCCCGTTCAATCATCATCTCCGGATCGTTCATATCCAGCAGCAGCTCCTGGAACCTCGGCCGCGGCGCATCGGCCGCGGGCTTCTCCCACATGATCTCGTCGGCCCATGTGCCGCGGTCCAAGTCGATGTTGATTGGCCGTTCTGGCTGCACAGGCGGCATGTGGGCCGGCACATCATCGCTTGAGAGACACACACTGTCAGCGGGAGAAGCTCAAGCGGGCACTGGCGATGCTCACGAAGTGTACACGATGCGGCTCTCCCAATCGTCGATCTCCATCGCGGGCATCTCAGTCTCGAGCTTGTCCTAAGCCGTAGCATTGCAGGTTTAGCAAGAGGAGCTGCGCACGGCACGTCAAGAGCGTCTCACCACGGTATCGCGCACTCGCATGCTCTCCAAGAGCGGATGGAGCACGTCACGCAGGTAGCCGTGCTCCTTTGCCTCAGTGATGGTGAAGGGCCGCGAGGACGCATGGTCGCGCGTGGAGATCTCGAGGCTCGCAGTGATCGTCGCACCTTGCGCTAGCCATCAAGAGTCAGCGATCTGTTGCGAGCACTCCTGCCCCAGTGTGCAAGCAGCAGAGGCCCTCTCTCTGCCTCTACTCTCTGCGCTGCTCGAGACATCACCGGGCATCCGCTGCTTGCGCATCCCTCCACACGCTGCTTCAGGTGACTCACGTCGCTCCAGCTTCGAGAAACGCCCTCGCTTCCGCGGCCGCAGGTCCTTGTAGTAGATGTCGGTGAAGTTGAGGATCTGGTCGGGCGTGAAGTCCGGGTAGAGCGCATGGACGTCCACTGCCGGCCTTTCTGGCGCGCTGGGCTCCGCCGGCGGGGGGGTCGCCTCGCGCGTGTCCGTCGGCTCGGCCTTGACGACGGGCGGCGGCGTGCCCATTGCGTCCGGATCATCCTCGCCCTCTGCATCCTGCCCTCCCTCGTCTTCATCGTCGTAGTCCTCCTCGGCGCCACGCACGCTGCGCTTGCTGGCAGCGACGCTCTGCATGCCGAGGCGGTATGCGCGGTCGGCGATGCGCTTGCGCTCCTCCTGCATCTCGCGATCGACCTCTTCCTCCCAGTCTGCACGGCCGCCCTCGCCGCCGCCAAAGTCGTCATCGACGAAGCGCTCGCTGTAGATCTGGTCGCGCTCGAGGTGCGGGCCCGAGCTGTCGACCTGGTGCACGCGCGAGCGGCCCGCCGAGTCCTCGACGCCCAGGTCCGACAGCAGCGTGCCGAGCGCCAGGTTGCCCAGCTGCCCGACGGCGCCGCGCTCGTCCTCCATGGCGTGGCAGTGTGGGTGAGGGGGATGGTGGTGGTGGTGGAGGGCCAGGATGCGCAGCTCGCGACGTCGCGCAGTCGGCCCGATGCTGCCGTAGGCTGGCCGTGCGCTGCGCGTCACGTGACACGCCCCGCCCTGGCAGGATGGGGTCTGGACATGGCTCCGCCTCAGCCTTGGCTGAGGCGGAGCTGTCGTCAGCTGAAGCAGCATGTACGAGGCATGCATGTGCTTAGGAACGCCTCTGGGAAGTGCCGAACGTCTCGCACACTTGCGGCTCTGCGTCCGGCTTCTGCGCCGTGCATGGACGACACGACGAGGTGGAGGCACCTGGGCCTGCTAGCCAGCCCAAGACATCACCCCGCTCACTTGCGGCTCACAAACAGAAGCGCAGGTCACTCGAGGGGAAAGCCCTGTCGTGCATTATTCTATTGAGACCGATGAAACACCATCCGCAGTGCTAGCTGCGAGCCCAAGCATCCTTACTTCCCCCCTTCCCTCTCTTCCTCATGCCGCCCTTCGACGGCGTTTCCGTCCCAACTGGCCAGCTCGAGGCACCCGAGAGCCTGCGCACAGGTAGCGCGGCCATTGGGCGCGCAAGTGCTTGCTGCGACGAGCCGCGGTAGAGGCGTCGCGACGGGCTGCTGCCGCGAGAACGCAGCGCCAGCCGAGGTGCCGCCAGCCTGCCGCGGCAGGCGGAAGCGGCTACGTATTGTGCAAAGCATGAAGCACCACTGCCTCATTCAGAGCTTGCTGCCTGGCCGTCTGCCCGCGAGCGTGGCCTTGAAGTTGACGAGATTGACGAGATCGCTGTTGACGGGCGTGTCGATGCCATAGCGGCGGCCAAGCCCGACAATGTAGCCGTTGATGAAGTCGATCTCCGTCTTGCCGCGCATGTTGTGCACATCCTGCTGCATGCTGCTGAAGTTCTGCGCCGTGCTGCGCGCCACTGCCTCGGCGGCGCTCAGCAGCGCCGAGGGCGACAGCGACTGGTCAAGCAGCGAAGCATCGAGCTGGTCGAGACCGCCAGCCGAGCCGCTGCCCTCGCGCGCGTCCCGCGCCTGCGCAAGCAGAACGGCGCTGGCTTCACGGCAGATGTCGCCCATCGCGAGGCGCGCAGCGGCGTTGCCGTACAGCTCGCCGTTGCGGCAGTCGGCGAGCGCCGTGAGCGGGTTGATGCAGGCATTGATGACGAGCTTGTGCATCAGCTTCAGCTGCATCTGCCGGATCGGAAGCCACTGCACGCCCAACGGCATAGCCAGCAGCGCCGCGACGGTATGCCGCAGCGTGAGCGTCTCGGGCAGCTCGGGGATCGCGGCGAGGTCGAGCACCTCCTGCGCGCGCCCGCGGCTGCGCGAGCGCCGCTGCGCAGTCGTGCGTGGCCGGAAGAACTCCCAGCCTACCGACTTGCCCTCCTCCTCCCGCAGCTTGTCAGCTGCCTCCCGAGCAGCGGCGCGAGCCTCGGCCTCCTCCTCGAGCGCGCGGTTGGCGCCTGGCGGCCGCACGATGACGGAGCGCTCGTAGCCCTCGGGCGCGCGCAGCGCGTTTGGCACGACGCCAAAGTGCAGCTCGCCCACGCCGGCGTGGACGACGTGCAAGCGCCGCTTGCGCCATGCGCCGTGCGTCGTGGAGGCAAGGATGAAGTTTGGCCGGTGCTGCGGATCCGGGAAGAGCTTCTCGTAGAGCAGGTCGAGGACGCCCTGCCCGTTCTGCAGGAGCACGATAGTGGAGGAGGGCGTGAGACGGGAGGCGAGCGGAGCAAGTGACGAGAGCGTGGTATCTGCCTTGGAGGTGACGATGAGAGAGTCGATGGAGTCGGAAGCGTACCCTTGCGCGTGACAGATGCCCTGTGGCTTGTCGTCTTGCCCAGAGTAGGCGGATTTCCGCCGCGCTTTTGGCGCTGGCGGCGGCTGCAACAACGTGATGGGTGCGTGGCGCTGAATGTGGAAGTCTCGCTCGGTGAACCGGGCGCCGTCGCGCTCGACGATGATGCTGTCGTCCTCCTTTGGCGGCAGTGCCATGAACTCAGGCCGCCCGACGGGCTTCTGATGCCGCAAGTGCAGCGTGACATGCGTCTGCGACGGGTCGGGCAAGAAGCCGTGCACGTGCGGCGCAGCGAGGTGTGGCGTAGCGAGGCCAGGCGCGCTGCTGCCGAGCACACTGCTGCTGCCGGCACCCTCATTACTGCTGCTGCTGGACTGGCCACTGCCGCTGCCGCTGGCAAAGGCATTGGGCAGCTCGGCGGCGGCGGCACGCAGGTTGGCATGGGCGCGCGTCGAGCGCTGCAGGTGGAACGCGACGAGCGAGCCGATGGAGCCGACGCCCGAGACATGGAAGCGCATGCCCGGCGCAGGAGAAGGCTAGCAGGCGCGGCGCTGTGCCATGCAACGAGGCCGGGCGCCCCGGCGGCGCGATGCCCAGAGTGGAGTGGCGAGAGGCGCGGAGGGTGGGGCACAGGGCACGCGCGGTGGCGGCGGCGCAGCGGACGAGGTGCCGAGCGTGGGCTGGACGGGAAGAAGTGCTGAGAAGACGAGGCGGTGGCGAGGTGAGGTGCGGTGATGTGGGGAGAAGGGAGGCCCCAGCCGCTGCTGCTTGCCGCTCTGACCTCACCCGAGTAGGTGCTTACGCCGCGAAGGAAGGGGCGCGGCGCGCGCCGCACGGCCGAGTGCCGGCGAGCTTAGAAATGTGTTGCGCGCACGTGACGCGCCCGCGCCCGGCCAGCGCCGACCGGGGCTCCCCACACCATGCTGCCGCCTCCTTCACCCCCGGATCAAGCACACAGGAACAGATGTGTAGTGCTATGTCTATTGCGCCAGGGCCACGGGCGCCGCCTCGGCCTCGGGCTGTGGCGGCAGCGGCGACGCCTCGCGCGCCAGCTCGCGCAGGCGCTTCTTCTCGGCGGCCTCGGCCGCCAGCAGCGCGGCCGCACGCTGCTCCTCCCTCTTGAGCTCCTGGGCACGCTGTGTGCGGCGCTTGCGCTGCTGGTTGCGCACGAAGCGCGCCTGCTCTGCGTGCGCCGTGCGCTCATCGACGTCGCGGTGCAGCTCGTCGATGCGTCGCTCTACGTGCTTGAGCGCCTTGCTCAGCGCCTTGTTCAGCTGCGTCACGCGCGTGCGCTCGGCATCGCGGAAGCGCCGCTCGTCCCACCGCTGCAGCGCCCGCTGCACGACGGCGTGCTCGGCGTAGAGCGCAAGCAGCGCCCGCTTCTGTAGCCGCACGACCCACCAGCGCGCGCGCTGCTGCTCCGCGCGGCCCGTCAGCGAGGCGAGCGACTCGAAGAGCTCGGGCGATGGCGCGTGGTGCGGCGCGTCGAAGTACGGCAGCGCGACGGGCGCAGAGGCCTCGCCGGCCGCATCCTCGTCGAGCCAGCTCTCGGCGACAGTCTCCGACGAGGCAGATGTGGGTGTCTCGTCAGACGGTGATGGCTCAGCTTGCGGTGCCTCGTCGAACGGCGCCAACGGAGCTTGCGATGCGTCGTGGAGTGATGACGGCTCAGTCTCCAGCTGCGACGAAGCCTCGCCGGAAGGAGCTGTCTCCGCCGTCTCTGCTTGCAGTGCGTCGGGAGAGTCGAGTGCGTCCTGCGCCGCCTGAGCTTCGGCAGCGGCCGCAGCTTGCGCGCGTCTCGCTGCCTTGGCCTCGCGAGTCTGCTCGACCTCGGCAAGCCTTGCCGCGTGAGCCGCCTCCTCGCCCAGCTCCACGTCGCCCACGCCCAGCTGCACGGCCATGCGGCGCACCTCATCCTCGTAGCTCTCGACAGCCTCAACGAGCACGTACTGCGCGACGCAGAGGTACTGGCCCTCCTGGCGCGCCAGATCCTCCATCTTGCGGCCCCAGTCGCCCAGCGCCGGCGTGGCGACCTGCGAGGCATTAGGCGCCGTGCAGGCGTGTTTGATGAGCGTCTTGTACGTCGTCAGGTTCGGCGTGATGGCGTCGGGGTGCGAGTAGGGCAGCGGCGCGTCGTCGTCGTCGGCCTGCGAAGCTTGCGTCTCGGACGCGGCCTCGTCGCGAGGCCTCAGGTCACGCCAATTCATGGCGAAGAGACTGCCCTGCGGCGCCTCCTCTGCGGCTTCTGCGAGCTGCTCGCCGCGCGGCAGCGGCCGAGTAATCGTCTCGTACGCCGCGATCATCTTCGGCACGCTCTCATGCTCGCCCAGCGCCATGAGGATCGTGTTGAGCGTGTGCACGGTGAGCTTCGACTCGGCCGGCCGCTCGGGCTGTGCATCGAGCGCATCGAGGTCCACGCCGTAGCTGACGCGCAGCAGCGCCTTGAGCGCGGGCATGTGGCCAGCCAGGCGCAGCATGCGCGCGGCCAAGTCGAGCGTGACGACGTCCGGCGTCACGCCTCTCTTTGCCATGTCGTCGAGCAGCTCCACAGCACGGCGCGCATCGATATCAGCAGCCGTGCGCGCCCTGACTTGCGGCGGACCCTTGATCTTGCTCTGCAGCCATTCTTCGCGCGCTTGGATACGCGCCGCCCGCCGCTCGGCCTTGCCCAGCTTCTTGCGCTCGCTGCGCGTGCCGGCGCGCAGCGCTGCGGCGTGCGAACGCACGAGCGAGTTGGCCAGGTGTCGCGAGAGGCCCAACATCATGGCCTGGTACGTGCGGCGGTTCGGCTCCAAGAGCGGCGGCGCCGGCGTGGGCCCTGCATCGGGAAAGAGCCAGCCGAGGAGCGAGCGCCGCGGCTGATACCGCTTCTGCTCCTCCGCTGTGCTCTGCTCCTGGATCTCGCGCCAGAGACGCGTGAGCGCCATCATGTTGCCGCTCGGCGCAATGACGTCGAGCACGTGGTTGTAGTCTGCCATGTCGGGGTGCGCCTCGATGTCTGGCAGCGCACTGCTCGTGCTCGCCAGCGGCGTCGTGAGCTCGGCGGAGAGGCGGCGCATGTGCTCAAAAAGTGTCGTGGCTCGCGTGAGATACTGGTGAATCGTGTCGTCGACGAGGATCGAACTGGATCGCTGCGTCGTGGTCAACTGGCCGCCCGGCCGAAAGGCGACGAGCGGCGGCGCGCTGGGCACCGGCTGCGGGTAAGACGATCGGCCGGCCGCGCCCGACTCGGACGACTCGCCGGCCGCACGCAGCTCGTCGGCGTTCGACATCGCATCGGCGTACTTCTCGGCGCTGACCTCGTCGCGGCGACGCCGCTTGTCGCGCCGCGCCACGACACGGCGCGAGTGGACGTTGGGTGTAATGGCCCGCAGCACGAGGGAGAGATGCAGCGGCAGCAGGCGCATGCGTGCCTCGGCGCTGGCCGTGCTCTCCTCGACACTGCTGCCGTCCAGCGGCCGCTGCATGAGATCCGTGTAGGCGGCCCAGACGCGCTCGGGGTCCGGAAAGGCCTTGTAGATTTCGCGGAAGATGGGGTGCGCCTCCTCGGCGTAGCGCTGGGCGCTGGCGTCGGCAGGCGGCGCCCGGCTGCCGCTGCCGCTCGGGGCCCACACTGGCGACAGGGCGTGCTGCGGCGTGAAGAAGGCGCGCGGCGGCACCCATGCTGCGCTTGGCGTTGGGATGGCGATGCCTCCCGAGCGCCGAGCCGGCTCTGGCTGTGAGGCCTGCGGCGCCGCAACCTCCGCTTGGGCCGCTGCTGCCGCTGCGTCTGCCGCACCCACGGCGCTGCTGCTGCTCAGCGCTCGCCGGGCGACGAGGCCGCCGCGCGCCGGCACGGCCAGGCGGCGGGCGAAGACGCGCAGGGGCATGCGATGCGGCGGCGGGAGAGGTGCAGTGAGGGTGGAGTGGTCGGACGAGCAGGTGCAATGCGCAGGTGCAGCAGCAGGTGCGGCACCTCGAGGCTTGATTTCTGGGTTCTTCCCAAGGCGCGCCCGGCACGCTTCGGCGCAGCTCGGGGCCGCGCGCCGACGAGAGCGACGGGGCGCAAGACGCGTCGGGGCGCGGGAGATGGTCTCGCTGGCGCATCGTTGGCGCTGGGCGGCGCCCGTGCGCTGGAAGCGCCGACACGACACATCGACACCGACAGCAGCTGCAGCTGGCTCCCACCAACACCCTCCGCTGCCTGTGCTCCCTCTCTCCTCTCTCATCTCGGGTGCTCCTTACCGCGCCTCTGCCTCGCCCCGTGTACGCGCACGCACGATCCCGCCGCTCCCGCTGCGCGCCGCCGCGCCGCCGCACGCTGCCGCCATGTCGTTCAAGAAGGACGAGGAGGCGGGCGCCGTCGTGCCTGCCTTCTACCAGGACAAGGTGGGTCGTGTCGCAGTGGGGCTCACAGCACAGGCGTGCTGACTCTTGTACTGTAGACGAGCGTGATCCAGGAGGCGCGCGTGTTCAACGAAACGCCCATCTCGCCGCGCAAGTGCCGCATCCTCCTCACCAAGGTCATCTACCTGCTCTACACGGGCGAGACGTTCAGCCGCACCGAGGCGACGACGCTCTTCTTTGGCGCCACCAAGCTCTTCCAGCACAAGGACGTGAGTGCTGACTCTGCGGATGGGCGGTAGTGGAGACAGCTGCTGACAGCTGCGGACAGCCGGCACTGCGCCAGATGGTCTACCTCGCCATCAAGGAGCTCTGCCCGCTCGCAGACGACACCATCATGGTCACTGCCAGCATCATGAAGGACATGCAGCCCAACATGGAGGTCATCTACCGGCCCAACGCCATCCGCGCGCTCAGCCGTGTTGTTGACGTGAGTATGACCGAGAGCGGAGGGCAGCCGTAGAGCGCACGGCGTGGAGGTGTTGGAGAGGGCGTCAGGGGTAGTCTGGACGGCAAGCACGCACCGCCTGATTGACCGAAGCGCTGCACGGCTTGTCAGGATCTGAGCGCTCACGCATCCACCGCACAGCCGTCGATGGTGCAAGGCCTCGAGCGCTTCTTCAAGTCGGCCATCGTCGACCGCAACACGTCGATTGCATCCGCCGCGCTCGTGTCCGCGTACCAGCTGCACGTGGCCGCACGCGATGTGGTGCGCCGCTGGGGCAATGAGGCGCAGGACGCCATCACTGCCAAGCCGCAGGCCGTCAGCGGAGGCGGCGCTGGCTTCGGCGGCAGCATCGGCGGCGCGTTCCTTGGCGGCTGGGGCGGCGCACAGCAGCAGCAGCCCGTGCAGAGCGCGTACCAGGCGATCCCTTCGAGCAGCTACATCACGCAGTACCACGCCATCGGCCTGCTATACCTCATCCGCCAGACGGACCGCATGGCAGTGACGAAGATGGTGCAGCAGCTCTCGGGCAGCGGGCGCGGCGCCGGCTCGAGCCCGCTGCGCAGTCCCTTTGCCATCTGCATGCTGGTGCGCTATGCCGCCAAGGTGGCCGAGGAGGACCCGAACCTGCGGGCGCCGATGATGGAGCTGCTCGACAACTGGCTGCGCCACAAGAGCGACATGGTCAACTACGAGGCGGCGCGTGCGCTGTGCGAGATGCGCGGCCTCAGCACGCAGGACCTCTACCGCCCGATCGCCGTGCTGCAGCTCTTCCTCTCCAGCCCCAAGTCGACGCTCAAGTTTGCCGCCATCCGCACGCTGGCCAAGCTGGCGCAGACGCAGCCGGCGGCGGTGCAGCAGTGCAACGTCGACATGGAGAACCTCATCACCGACACGAACCGCAGCGTCGCCACGTACGCCATCACGACGCTGCTCAAGACGGGCAACGAGGCGAGCGTCGACCGCCTGATGAAGCAGATCAGCGGCTTCATGAGCGAGATCAGCGACGAGTTCAAGGTCATCGTCGTCGATGCCATCCGCAGCCTGTGCCTCAAGTTCCCGTCGAAGCAGACGACGATGCTCACGTTCCTCTCGGGCGTGTTGCGCGACGAGGGCGGCTACGAGTTCAAGCGGGCCGTCGTCGAGGCCATCTTCGACATGGTGCAGTTCATCGGCGACTGCAAGGAGACGGCGCTGGCGCACCTCTGCGAGTTCATCGAGGACTGCGAGTTCACCAAGCTCTCCGTGCGCATCCTGCACCTGCTCGGCGTCGAGGGCCCGCAGATGGAGCAGCCGCACAAGTACATCCGCTACATCTACAACCGCGTCATTCTCGAGAACGCCATTGTGCGTGCGGCCGCTGTCAACTCGCTGGCCAAGTTCGGCCTGGGCGACAAGCGTCTGGCGGCGCGCATTACCGTGCTGCTGGAACGCTGCCTCGACGATGTCGACGACGAGGTGCGCGACCGTGCGGCGTTGAACCTGCGTGTGCTCAAGGAGGCGGGCCTGGCCGAGCGCCTCGTCAAGGACGAGAGCTCGTACAAGCTCGCCGCGCTCGAGGAGAGCCTGCAGACGTACGTGCAGGACCCGTCGGCGTCGACGTCGCGCTTCGACGCCTCGAGCGTGCCGCGCATCACGCGCGACGAGATGCGCCAGGAGGCACTGCGCGCCAAGAATGAGGCGGCGAGCAAGGTCGCCATGGCTGCTGATGGGCCGAGCACCAGCCGTGCTGGCGCCGCTGCAAACGCTGCAGCTGCCGCTGGCGCAGCAGGTGCCGCTGGCAACGGCGCGGCGGGTGCCTCGCCTGCCGAGGCCGCCTCCATCTACGCGCGCGAGCTGGCGGCCATCCCGCAGTTCAAGGAGTACGGCAAGCTGCTCAAGTCGTCCGCCAAGGCTGCCGAGCTTACAGAGCGCGAGACGGAGTACGTCGTCTCGGCCGTCAAGCACGTCTACGCCGAGCACATCGTCGTGCAGTACAACATCACCAACACGCTGCCCGACACGGTGCTCGAGAACGTTGCGGTCGTCGTCGGTGGCGCTGCGGACGCCGGGCTCAAGGAGGACTTCATCCTCCCGCACGCGCTGCTCTCACAAGACGCCCCAAGTGGCGTAGTGTACGTCTCCTTCACGCGCGTCGAGGGCCCCGACGAGTTCCCGCAGGGCGCGCTCAGCAACACGCTCAAGTTCATGAGCAAGGAGGTGGACCCGACGACGGGCGAGGCCGAGGAGGAGGGCTACGACGACGAGTACCAGACGGAGGACCTGGACCTCGGCGTCGCCGACTACGTGGGCGGACGCTTTGCCGACTTTTCGCGCGAGTGGGAGGCCATGGCGAACGCCAGCGTCGCGACCGAGACGTTTGCGCTCACGGCGCTCGAGAGTCTACAATGTGAGTCTTGCGCCGCCTTCTCAACTCTCCATACGCTCACGCCCCTCTCTCAGCCGCATGCGAAACGCTGGTCGAGCTACTGGGCATGCAGCCGCTCGGCGGCTCCGAGCTGCCGACATCGACCTCCGTGCACACGCTCAACCTCGCCGGCTTCGTGGCGCAGCCGGGCAAGCCGGCACACGTGCTGGCGCGCGCACGCATGACGTATGCGGCCGGCGAGGGCGTCACGATGGAGCTGGGCGTGCGTGCGGACAACGATGCGGCCGCACAATTGGTGCTTGGTGCGATTGCTTAGAGGGGAGTGCAATGCTATCGTCTCATCTGTTCATTCGCAAGAGAGGGAGGAGAACAGGAGGAGAGGAATCACCGCTTGCTCTTCTTGTCCTTCTTCTTCTCCTTGCCCGACTTGCTCGACTTGCCGGACTTGGCCGATGCAGGGCTGTCCTTGACGGGCGATGCGGCAGCCGCGCTGTCCGTCTTCTTGCGCTTCGATGTCTTCTCGGGCGTAGGTGCCGCAGCTGCAGCGGGTGCAGGCGGCGCGGCCGCGGCCTTGCGCTTCTTGCCCTCTTCGTAGCCTGGCGGGGAGCGTGAGCAAGCAGAGCAAGAGCGCCAGTGTGAGCTACTCACCAGCGTACGGGTCCAAGCTCTGCTTCGCCTTTCCCTTGCCCTTCTCCTTGCTCGACGTCACTGCAGCAGGTGCCGGTGCGGGCGCCTCCTCATCGCTGCTACCATCACTGCTGGAGCTGTCGCTGCTCGAGCTCGCCTCTCCCTTCTTCTCAAAGCGCGTATGCTGTCCCTGCGGCGCTGCACCCTTGTCCAGTGCCGCTTTGATGAAGCGTCCCGCTGCGGTCGCGTCGACGCGCGAGCGTGGCTCGGCTGGTGGGGGCAATGTGAGCAGCTGTGGGAGGGAAGGGGGG